TAACCCTTGAACATACATCTGTTTACTAGCATGTGTGACAAAATAAGTATCCTAAAACTGGATGCTTCGTGACTGTGCTGTGAGCTAAACTAGCCCCCTTTTTCCTGTGACACCGTCTATACTCCAGAGAAAGGTTGACAGACAAACCCTAGAGGATTTGGCAGTCATTTTCTCAGACGTGGATGAAGTGCGCCTGTTGCTCCAAGAAACAACTGACATTTGTTGCCAATGATCAGATTCTAGCTTTTAAGTGAAAATGGGATTTTGGAAAACTTGTTTTGCCACTGTAAGCTGGACGGCTTCCAACTAGTTTAAGACTCATCAGATCAGATAAAATGTAAACCAATGTGATTTTTAAATATTTTATAATGGAGCATGTCAACACTTAGGAGATCTGCATGTACCAGTGAAATAATGTGTTCTACATAAACAGAGCATGCGCGACACCGTCACACCCAGGTGAAAGATCTGTTCAAGGCGCAAGGCTAGGCTAGTGCGTTTTATTGTAACCAAGTATGAAAGATTCATCGCCAGGGTTTCAGATTTCACATGGCAGCCGGCCTCTAAGAAACCATTACTTGTCGAGTTTTGCCAGAGCACCAAATAAGAAGATCCACCATTACCTAGCAAGGCTATGGAGACTCTCCTCCGTTTCCTAACTGCGTATCTGCGTGAAGTCGGATTTTTTTCATGCACTTCAGCCAAAGTAAGGAATCACCGCAGGTTGAATAGAGGAGCGCTGTGAGCACCCAGGGTCTTCAGTTAAGCCAGACACAGAAGAGGTTTGCAAGAATATAAATAGTGCCACTCCCACTGTTTTTCTTGTTTTGGAAAGTTCTTAAAAATAAAAATACATACATGTTATTTAAAATGATTTAATACATATTTTTAAAAGTCATGGGGTCTTTAATTTCCAATTGAGTAAAAATTGATAGCTGCAACCCAGATAAACAAAGCTTATTGGGGTCCTTAATGATTTTTAAGGGGGCAGATGGGTCTTTGGAATTTCTGTCACATGACACATCAGGCAGGGGTGCATTTTGGGTAATGGCACCATCCAAAAGTAGCAAAGACTGTGTTTTTTGGGTTTTTTTTAAGATTTGGAAATTTTTTCCCCCATTAAGTTTTCCACATTTTAGTCAAGAATGTAAGTGGGTTGATTAGTTTTTCATCTGTTTTGAATTTCCTCTTAGCTTCTGTCTAAAGAGTTCATGCTGTGGCGATCCACGTGACAGCAGCAGGGTCGAGGCGTCGCCAGGGGATTTTCACAGCGTAAGGAGACCCAGGCTCATCGGGAGCCAGCACTTGTGTACCTGGTACTGCCTGGGGTTTTATTATTATTCGGACCCTGTTCTTTGCAGGTGCTTTATTACAGCTTGGGGTATGGTCTTAGATACAGATAACTTTGTCAGAAACACATGGCTGGTTTGAGGCTAGTAATTTTTAAGGTGAACTCAATTCAAATGCAGATTTTTTAAAAAAGGATTCAGTATCAAACCCTGTTGCTTTATATTGTATACATTAGGACCAAAGAGAATCGCAAACTAATGGAAAAGGGGGAAATATAGTTAGACTGTTGACCAGGCAAGAGTGAAATGGAAGAGCAGATGGTCTCAGCAGGTTTTCAAGGAAACACCTTTAACGGCTGAACATAGCCCACGCTTTGGAGATGGTGGGAAATTATACGAGAGGGGCTCTCACATGGGTGTGTGGAAAGGCGTTTTTAAATGAAGATGGTCGCTGTGAAGCTAAATCAACAAAGTTTGCTGGTTAGCAGAGAGCTTTAAAGAAGCCTTGCTCTAAATAGCCAGGGATGATTTGGAATCCTGAGAGTCATCTCCCTCCCTCTCCCCCCCCCCCCAACCTTATCCTCGGGATACAACCAAAGACCCCAGTGGATGCCTGGTCGCAGATAGTACCGAACCCTGCCTATGCTATGTTTTTTCCTATACGTGCATGCCTATGAGAAAGTTTAATTAGAAATTAGGCATGGTAGGAGATTAGCAATAACTAGCAATAAAATAGAATTATCATTAACAAGAAGTTGCAGTAAGAGTTGTGCGAATGTGGTCTTTCTCTCTCTCAAAATACCTCATTGTCCCGTCCTCGCCCTTCTTGTGATGGTGTGAGATGACACAATGCCAGCGCGGTGAGATGGAGTGAGATGGAATTTTCCATTTTAATATTTTCAGATAGAGATTGACCGAGAAGAACTGAAACTGTGGAGAAAGAAACTGCAGATGAGGGGAGACTTCTGTACTTGAACTGTTTGTATATTTGTTCTCTCAAGTAGTTTAAAGAGACCTGCAGTGTTGTGTTTACACTATTCACTGCCTGACAGCCCCTGTAGATAACATAAATAAAGAGCCTCCCTGAGCAAGCTTCCTGAAACGGAATCTAGGACTTTGTGAAATGACTGAGGAGCAAGAATGTATGGACACCATAAATATTTGTCCCTTATTTTTATGAGAATGTTAAAAATTATTAGGTATAAAGATATTTTACAGTGATTATTTTTAATGAGAAAAACATGCTAGTAAAATAAAACGTTAGTTTCTAAGTTGATGTTTCTCAAACTGCTCTGTGGGCCTGGATGGGACTAAGGTTGAGGAAATGACTTTTCTTCAGAAGAGGGCTTCTCAAGTTTGGGAAAGCGAGTTTCTGACTCTGCCACCTTGCCCGCTCCCGCCGAGCTGGACTCACTGAGGAGAGTTGGCACTGCTTTGAATGGCAAGCAGAATCGAAGCACCATGATGGCTTAACATCGAAGGTGCTAGATTTCAAGCAAGCGGGAGGATGATGCTAAATGTTCACTGTCAGGTTGCACTGGCCTGTGATCAGGTTACATTGTAGCTTTGCATTTTTATATTGGACTGCAGGCCCGATGCACGAAATTCATGCAAGAGCAGGCCTTCCCCCAGCTGCCGGCACCGGCTTCCCTCACAGCCCCGGCTTCATCCTGAATGTCGTCCGGAAGGATGTCCAACCTAATTAGCATATTATGCTTTTATTATTATAGATTTGACACTTGACCATTGTTCTGATCCTCATCCAGTTCATGAAATTAGGCAGGGAGTTCTCTGTGTCTGGTAGGCAAATGCCTGACACCTTGCGTTGTTCCGTGGTCTTTCTCTGGGAAGGAGCTGGGACTAGAATCCTCATCCTCTGTTGATGTTACCCATGGGAGGCAGCAAACTTTCCATCTTGGCCCATTGCAATCCCTTCTTCCTGGTAATGTTGAGCTAACACTCTCTTCACTTTCATTGCACTTGCCAGGCCCTCTCTTCTGGGCCTTCCCTCCTGGACCCTCCCTCCTGGGTCCTCCCTCCTGGACCCTCCCTCCTGGGCCCTCCCTTCTGGATCCTCCCTCCTCGGACCTCCCTCCTAGATCCTCCCTCCTGGACCCTCCCTCCTGGCTCTCCCTCCTGGACCCTCCCTCCTGGGACCTCCCTCCTGGCTCTCCCTTGGCCGCTGCTAACATCCACTAGCTCACTGACCTCCCTCCTTGAGCTCCAAATAGACCCGTTTCCAACTATCTTCTGGCCATGCCACTCCCTCAGTCACCAAGTCACTTCACCCCCAACTGCTGCCCCTCCATGTGTGTCATCACAGGAAGCAGAAGCAGGGAGTCACCCTGGACGCCTCCCTTTCCTTCGTCCCGTCCCAGCCTCTTCACCCAGTCACTAGGCCTCGATTATTGTTAGTAAACTCCTCTCTCCTCCCATTTCCTCTCATCTGAACTGCAGCAGGCTCCTGACTTCAGTCTTCAGGTGATTCTGAACATAACTGTGGCTGCACCATACCCCCACCACCCTACAAGCCCTTCAGTGGCTCACAGGTGCCCGTAGGAGAGCCTGAGCTTGGCATTCAAGGCCTTGGGTGAACAGGCCCGGACTTTGTTTTATCACCTGCCACCACTCATTTCCTTGCACCCTTCCCAACCTGTGCTCCAGGGGGCACACACACCCCTGCACCGCCCCCCATTCTTCTAGACCAGCGGTTCTCAACCTGTGGGTCGCGACCCCTTTGGCGGTCGAACGACCCTTTCACAGGGGTCGCCTAAGACCATCCTGCATATGAGATATTTACATTACTATTCATCACAGTAGCAACATTACAGTTATGAAGTAGCAACGAAAGTAATTTTATGGTTGGGTCACAACATGAGGAACTGTATTTAAAGGGCCAGAAGGTTGAGAACCACAGTGATGGTGACCCTCTGACACATTTTTTTTTTTTTTGGTTGACTTTTCTTTGTGAAATGGCATTTAAATATATAAAATAAATATCAAAAATATAAGTCTTTGTTTTACTATGGTTGCAAATATCAAAAAATTTCTATATGTGACACGGCACCAGAGTTAAGTTAGGGGTTTTCAAAATGCTGACACGCCAGGCTCAAAAGGTCCGCCATCACTGGTCTAGACTAAGAACCTCAAAGCACAATGCAAATTGAGCTATATTTCTGCTCATCTTGGTCCCCCAGCTCCTGGCACCGTTCCTGGCACATGGGCTTGATATGTTCAAATAAAGTCCATGTGAGTTATTTGATCTGTTTGAAGAAAGCAGTATTTTGTGGCTCTTTTCCTTCCCATTTCCTGGCCCCAAATTGCAATGAGCTGCTTTGAGGGGTCACTCAGAGATAGCAGTTAAGGTGCTAACAGTGCGAGTGAGTTAATGTGGGTGTGTTTACCTCAGTGTTCAGTATCCGACAGAGATTTTCCTTTGTACCAGGACATTAATTATGTCAAAACACTTGTTTCTAATAGGGATAGAGAACGTGAACAAATGGGGCAGAGATCAGAACCCAAGGCAGTTTCAAACCAAATTAGGTAATGTTGATTTAAAACCGCTCAACACAAGAGCACGGAGTACAATCATGGAAGATATCAGAACTGCGTTCTGCGTAGCGGGGTATTGTTGAGAGATCTGTCCATCGAAATTCTCTTAATCACAGAGAAAGATTATAAACTGTCTCTCTGTTTTGTTTTTTTAAACAGGATCAATTTGACAACTTAGAAAAACACACACAGTGGGGAATTGATATTCTTGAGAAATACATCAAATTTGTAAAGGAAAGAACAGAGATTGAAGTCAGCTATGCAAAGCAACTCAGGTAAGTTGATACTGAGAAAAATTGTTTTTTCGTTAACTGCACAGTGGCTGTGAGGATAGTTAATATTTTTATTTTGTGGTATGCATGTGTAATCCTTTAAATCATGCTTTTCCCCAACAGTTCAATAGAAACAGTTGTTTTTTAATATAGAAAAGTAATTTTCTTAAAACAGAAGACAAAAACTAAATTATTGCTTTTGGGTCATTTTATTTTTATTTATTTATTTATTTATTTATTCATTCATTCATTTATTTTTTGTTAATCCTCACCTGAGGATATTTTCTCCATAGATTTTTTAAGAGAATGGAAGAAGGGGAGGAGGAGGGAAGGAGGAAGGGAGGGAGGCGGAGAGACAGAGAGAGAAAGAGAGACATTGATTGATTGCCTCCCTCACACTCCCGACTGACCAGGGCTAGGGATCCAACCTGTCACCCAGGTACATGCCCTTGACCGGGAACCGAACCCAAGACCCTTTGGTGCACGGGCTGATGTTCTAACCACTGAGCACATCTGCCAGGGCCCTTTAAAAAAATTTTTTCACCCCTGAATTTGGAGCAGCTGATTTTTTCAGAAAACTTTTTATTGAAATAGAACTTACATAGAGAGAGAAGTGCAGAAATCACAAGTCACTCCCCACCGCCCCCGGGAGACCGCACTGACCCCTTCCTGCTCACCACCCTGCCCCCGAGGATGGCCACTCTCCAGATGTCTGACAGCAGCAGGTTTTGTCCTCCCTATATTTTATAATTTTTATTTATTGATTTTGGGGAGGGGGAGAGAGAATCATCGATTTGTTGTCCTACTTATCTATGCATTCATTGGTTGATTCTTGTGTGTGTCCTGAAACTGGGGATCGAACCCAAAATGTTGGTGTATCGGGACGATGACCTAACCAATTGAGCTACCTGGCCAGGGCGAGTCTTGCCTGTGTTTGAACCTTATGTGAGCATCTTCATTTGTTGGCAGCGTTTGTATTTGGCTTCATTGTTCTCCATTATGTTTGTGAGACTCAGTCACGTTGTTGGATGTGGTGGGAGTCGGTTTCTTTTCATTCGTTTCAGTATTTGGGTTGCACAAGTGCCGCACGCAGTCCATCCATCCTTTGCTTGTTTCCTCCTTGGGGATAAAGCAAAGTCCCAGGAGTGGAAGGGTGGGTTGGAGGCTTTGTGGTGTTCAGTGTGAGTAGATGGGGCCAGACAATCTTCCAGAATGCTTCTGTTGATGCGCGCTCCCCAACAGCGTGGGAGAGGCCCCAAGGTAGCATTTGAAAAGCAATTTGGACCTCTTACATCTTTAATGATGAAATTACCCAAGAAATGTATGCCTTTATATAAAATGCTGAAAAGTTTTGGTAGAACTAAGCTTAAACTTGAAGTGGCATGCAAATTCTTGAATGATTACTGGTTTGGTTGAGGTGATTTGTGCAGATTGTCAAAGATCTAGATGACTTGGTTTGGAAATATTCCTTTTAATGCAAAGATAATCTGCACAAGGGGCATGTCACCTGTCACTGAAAGACTGGCTTCTCCCAGGGCTGCTGGTGGGACATAAGCGCCTCAGTGTTACTCCAGGCAGATTTTTATGGATGGCAAGTTTCGTTCCACGGAGGAAATAAAACGTAAGATGTTGCTCAATGAAATAATTTTTACCATTTGCTGACTCCAGATTGGTTCTAGTGCCCTGACTGTACATCAGCCTCATTTGTACTTGGAGGCTTTTAGAACCTCAAATAGGAATAGAGAATGAGCTGCTTCAATTTGGTCATTTGAATGTTGCCTTGTTGGTCATAAAATATTTTCGTTCATATGCAAATGTACCTACAGTTTTAGGCAAAGTAAGGTCTTGCTGTCTGGCTTTATCTCTGCGTGGTCTTTCTTCTTTTCCTATTATCATAGGCTCCTCTCTGCTGGCGCCTGAGTCCCTCTCTCCTTTGGCTTTGGAGGGTAGTTATGGGATGTCATTAGGGATGTCGTTAGGTTGGTCCTCACAGGGTTCTTCATCGTTCTGTCAGGAGGGGAGTGCTTTCTTAGTCCCTCTCCTTCCCAGGATGTACCCGCCCCCTTCCCTTTCGCATCACTCTGGGGAGGGAACTGAGTGAGGTGAGGACTCAGGTAACAAAACGGGAGGCTCACCCCCAATTCCAGGATAGGCTTAGGGTGGAATAGAACAACTCCCCACTGGCCGTGTACCCCCTGCGGGTCACATTTCATAACCTGAAACAGTATGGGGAGTCCAGCTATGATGGTAACTCCGGGGAAGCAGTTTTCCTGGGATTTAAATGTTAACGTTTGTTTCATTACATCCCTGAGAGGCATCTACATTTGTGTTTGGTGGGAGACGTTGACAAAGAAAGGTTATGAGTAGTTGAATAAATGCTTCGGACAAGTCTTCCAGCTGCTGTGCTGAGCTCTCAGCTGGACCCTGCACGCTGACGCCCAATCGCACTATTGATCCCTGCGGCATGTGTTCCTACTTTCCCAAGCGACTCTTTCACAGTTTCTTCTACATCAGCCCCTGACACCCCCGTCCCATCCCTACCGATTGCGTCCTCCTTCACTGAGAAAACGGAAGAAGTCACGAGAGACTGTCCTCACCTGCAGGCATCGTCCCTCAGCTCTGACCCTCCACCCCCTGTGCTCCTGTCTAAACCCAGGCCTCCTCTTGGGCACTGGGGCTCCCCGCTCTCTGACTGCACAGCTCTGCCCCAGGTTCTCCTCGCTCCTCCCTCAGAGCTCTCGGCTCTCCTGGGCTGTTCGAATCAGCCCAGTGCGCCCTTCTGTTTCACTAAAAAAGCCCTTGAGTTCTCCTGCCCCACCAGCTGCCGCCATGTCTTTGCTTCCTTCCCTTTGCAGCAAAACTTACTTCTCAAAAGTGTCCTTACTTGCTGCCTTGATAACTCTCTGCTCACCAGCGCTGCTCCTCAAAGACACCAGTGACCCCATGTTGGTCATGTCGCCTGGCCTCTGTCCTCAGCCTCCGAGACCTCGGCCACTCTGACAGGGTGATGCCCCCGCCTCTTCATCGGGCGCAGGATCTCTGAGGCCATGCCTTGCAGATGCGCCTCCCTGCTGCCCTCTCTCTGCACTTGCAGATGCGCCTCCCTGCTGCCCTCTCTCTGCACTCAAAAAGAGGTCACATGAACTCTCCGTTTGGATGTCTGAGACACCTGAAATGCAACATCGGAAACCGAATCTCTCCACGAGAATCTGCATCTCCACAGCCGCGTGCTTAGCCAGAGCCCTAGAGTCATCTTTGGCTCCCGTCTTCCTCTCAGGCTTGCCCGGCTCCCAGCCAGGCTGTCAGGAAGTCCCAGTGACACTCCTTCCCATTGATCCAGGATCCCACCACTTCTCATGACCTAGTGCCCAGCGCCTCGGCCTGGATCACTGTCCCCTAACTGGATCCCTTAGTCCACCCTTTCCCCTCCCGTCTGTCTGTCCTCCACAAAGAGCAGATCATGGCGCTCCTCTGTGCAAAACACCAACACCTCCCCATTTCACTCAGAGGGAACCAGAATCCGCACGGAGGACTCTACAGAACTCTGCGTGATCGTCCCGTACCTCTCTGACATCATCTCCTTCCTCTCTCTTCCTGTGACCTCTGCCCTAACCATTCTGGCTCCTTGCTGTTTCCTGTGCACACCAGGATGCTTTCTCCCAGGGGCTTGCATCGGCCTTTCCAAGGAGAGGTCCCCTGTATGTCCTTCCCCCAGGAGCCACGTGGCCAGCACCCCATCTCCCCCAGGGCTTGGTTGGGATGGCATCTGCTCGGTGACTGCCGTACTGTTCAGTGTTTCCATAGCACCCATAACTTCCCAGCATTCTGTGTAGCTTCATCTATTGTATTTGTTGTTCGTGCTCCTTCCCTGCTGGAATGTAAGCCCCCCAGGGCAGGGCTCCGAGTGTGTTCACTCATGTGCCCCACAGTGTGGAACAGTGCCTGCCACCTCAGTGCTCCGTAAGGAGCTGGAGGGAGTGCATCGGCAGGTGCAGGTGTAAGATGAGCTACTTGGTCCGCAGCGCTTCCGGGAGAATTATGTGTTTGCACAGGCCTGTGAGAGCCAGTGAGGGTTTCACCACAAACAGAACAACTAACAACATGTCCACAGGGCTCCAGGGGGACTCTAATGAGCGACCCACAGGAAGTGCCTGAGCCTGAGGAGCTCACCTGCTCACTTTGGAAAAGAGGCTGCACGCAAATACACAGGAAGTAAATCACTTAAAGATAGCATTTCCTCCCCAAATAGGTAAAGCCAGTGATGCAACAGAGCAGGATGCGGCCGGGTGACGTAGCTGGGCTGGCCAGGGAAAACCCACTGAGACCGAAGGTCGCGGAGGAGGCAGGTGGAGTCGGGGAGTAGCTCTGCTCAGCCGGTAAAGGCCCTGCGGTGGGACCGTGGTCAAGGAACAGAAAGGCCAATGTGACTGGAGCACATTCAACAAAGAGTTGCTTGAACTACCGTATATGATGTTAAAATCCGCATGATCTTTTGGGGGAGACAGCATCATTAAATAATTTTTATTTTTTTCTGCATTGGAGGAAAAATGGCCAATTTATTTTAGACATAGATGATGATGATCGGGACTTCGGCTTCTGTAGGTCAGTGGCTGGCAAAATACACAGCCCTTGGTCAAATCCACCCACTGCCTGGTCTTAAAAATAAAGTTTCATTGGAATACAGCCACATCCATTCAGTTATGTATTGTCTATGGCTGCTTTTGCAAAAAACGATGGTAGTTGAATAGGTGTAACAGAGACCACGTGACCGTGACCTATTTGCAAGTCTAAAATATTTACTGATTGGCTCTTTACAGAAAAAGCTTGTTGACCCAGCTAGCGTGATTAAGGGTCCAATTCCTAATAGAATTTAAAAACATCTGTATCCTGTGTAAGAGCACCAACTATTGATTGCCCTTAGCAACTGTTTCTCTTTACTAAAAAACACACAAAAACTAAATTATTTGTTATGACCTGATAGTGAACGCATATGATTAAAAATC